GAGGATTTCCGCTCCATCCCCATACACGTTAACAGACTTTTCCAGTAGCTGTACTGGCCGCAATTGCCAGGGCAAATTAATCATTAAACACGGTTGCTTTTAAATCATGTGTAATATTTACAAAGGTACACTCACCAGAGGTCCCTTGTGCACTCTCAGGGTCTGCGAGCATGCCTTGGGTGAGTTCGGGGGTTACTGGTTCCAGGTCCAGGGTGATAAACATATCCTGGCCTTTGGGGAAACCGGTTTCTTCGCTTCCTTGCTGTGAGCTATCTTCATTGTCTTCATCATCATCATCTTCCTCGTACCCCGAACCTGCTTCCCTGTTGCGTGATTCTCCATTGATGGAGTCAAAGCACAGGGTTGGGGTAGTGGTGGCTGCATCCCCTAGCATGGCATGCAGCTCCGCGTAGAAATGGCATGTCTGTGGCTCTGCCCCGGACCTTCCGTTTGCCTCTCTGGCTTTGTGGTAGGCTTGCCTTAGCTCCTTAATTTTCACGCGGCACTGCTGTACGTCCCTGTTATGGCCTCTGTCCTTCGTGGCCTTTGAGACTTTTTCTAATATTTTGCCATTTCGTTTACTGCTATGGAGTTCAGCTAGCACTGATTCGTCTCCCCACATGGCAAGCAGATCCCGTACCTCCCGTTCGATCCATGCTGGAGCTCTTTTGCGATCCTGGGACTCCATCATGGTTACCTGTGCTGATGAGCTCTGATGGTCACCTGTGCTGATGGTCACCTGTGCTCTCCACGCTGGGCAAACAGGAAATGAAATTCAAAAGTTCGCAGGGCTTTTCCTGTTTACCTGGTCAGTGCATCTGAGTTGAGAGCGCTGTCCAGAGCGGTCACAATGAAGCACTCTGGGATAGCTCCCAGAGGCCAATACCGTCAAATTCCGTCCGCACTACCCCAAATCCTACATGGAAAGGCCGATTTCAGCGCTAATCCCCTCGTCGGAGGTGGAGTAAAGAAACCAGTTTAAAGGTCCTTTAAGTCGAAAAAAAGGGCTTCGTCGTGTGGATGTGTCCAGGCTTAATTCGATTTAACGCTGCTAAATTTGACCTAAACTTGTAGTGTAGACCAGGCCTAAGTAACAGCCAGTCCCTTCTCCGTGAGGATTGCAGCTCTCTCTAGGTGGATTATCACTGTAATGTTGGGCCAAGCTGCATACAGAGATAATAAAGGTATTTTCCAAACTGGGAAGGTCTGTGGCCATTATGAAAGTGTCACCAAAATCCTTGCTCCAGACAACTGTGCTGGGAAGTATGGGATAGGTGCTTCAGATATCCCAGATTACACCAGTAAAAACATGATTGCATGGCATATTGAGTTGCTATGATTACATGCTGCTCTGTTACAAAGCCAAGCCATACAGTCAAAGATTTCATCCAGCCAACATCCCTGCAGCAGTGCAATTGACTGCTATAGCTGTGTCCTGTTCAATCCTGGTTTAACAAGGAGAACAGACTAAGGGGAATTCTCCAAAATTTAACTTAATACATAGGAATTACGCAGGAAATGTACCAGAGCTACAAACAAAACAAAATTATTCTTCCCTCCCCTGATACTACAATTAATTTTATAGCAGATGCCATTTCAGCTATCACTCAATCATTTCATTTAGACTATGCTCTTTTGGTTTTTCAGTTACCTTTTTTGGATCCAGCTGCATTGTACCTATCCCAAAATCTCACATATTGCACAGCTATAACTTTACCTTTATGGTGCTTTGGCTAAAGGTTTTATTTTAATGTGTAAGTATGTTTTTCTAAATCAGATGGTATTTTCCAGTCAACTTTCAGTTTATTCGAGTCTGTTACAGGGTGGCTGGCCCCCTAAAATGAAGCAAGTCCAACTCCCTTGTGCTAGAACAGGTGGTCCCAGTTTGGTCAATTAAGAGGGCAGGGCAGCACCTAGGGCTATAGAGAGCCAGGCTGTCAGTTATGAAGGGGAAGCACTGTGTGAGTGATGACATAGAGAATTTCAATAATAAAGGGGATAAAAAATTAATCGCACTGTTAAGCATTAATAGAATAACAGTTATTTAAATATTTTTGGATGTTTTCTACATTTTCAATATATTGATTTCAATTACAAAACGGAATACAAAGTATACAGTGCTCACTTCATAATTATTTTTGATTACAAGTATTTGCACTGTAAAAAAAAAGAAATAGTATTTTTCAATTCACCTAATACAAGTACTGTAGTGCAGTCTCTTTATCATGAAAGTTGAACTTACAAATGTAGAATTATGTACAAAAAATGCATTCAGAAATAAAACAATGTAAAATTTTAGAGCCTGCAAGTCCACTCAGTCCTACTTCTTGTTCAGCCAATCACTCAAACAAGTTTGTTTACATTTGCAGGAAATAATGCTGCCCACTTCTTGTTTACAATGTCACCTGAAAGTGAGAACAGGCGTTCTCCTAGCACTGCTATAGCCGGCATCGCAAGGTATCTACGTGCCAGATGTGCTAAAGATTCCTATGTCCCTTCATGCTTCAACCACCATTCCAGGAGACATGCGTCCATGCCGATGACGCATGTCTGCTCGATAACAATCCAAAGCAGTTCGGACTGACGCATGTTCATTTTCATTATGAGTCAGATGCCATCAGCAAAAGGTTGATTTTCTTTTTTGGGGGTTTGTGTTCTGTAGTTTCTGCATCGGAGTATTGTTCTTTTAAGACTTATGAAAGCAAGCTCCATACCTCATCCATCTCAGATTTTGGAAGGCACTTCAGATTCTTAAACCTTGGATCAAGTGCTGTAGCTATCTTTAGAAATCTCAAATTACCTTCTTTGCGTTTTGTCAAATCTGCAGTGAGTGTTCTTAAAATGAATAACATGTGCTGGATAATCATCCGAGACTGCTATAACATGAAATATATGGCAGAATGTGGGTAAAACAGAGCAGGGTCATACAATTCTCCCCTGAGTTCAGTCACAAATTTAATTAACGCATTATTTTTTTAACGTGTGTCATAAGCATGTACTCTGGAATGATGGCCAAAGCATGAAGGGGCATACAAATGTTTAGCATATCTGGCATGTAAATACCTTGCAATGCCGGCTACAATACAATAGTGCCATGCAAATGCCTGTTCTCACTTTCTGGTGACATTTTAAAAAGAAGAGGGCAGCATTATCTCCTGTAAATGTAAACAAACTTGTTTGTCTTAGTGATTGGCTGAACAAGAAGTAGGACTGAGTGGACTTGTAGGCTCTGAAGTTTTACATTGTTTTGTTTGAGTGCAGTTACGTAACAAAAAAACTACATTTGTAAGTTGCACTTTCACGACAGAGATTGCACTACAGTACTTGTATGATGTGAATTGAAAAATACTATTTCTTTTGTTCATTTTACAGTGCAAATATTTATAATAAAAATAATATACACCGATTTAAATTACAACACAGAATACAATATATACGAAAATGTAGAAAAACATCCAAAATATTTAATAAATTTCAATTGGTATTCTATTGTTTAACAGTGCAATTAAATCTGTGATTAATGACGATTAATTTTTTAAATCGTGATTAATTTTTGAGTTAACTGCATGAGTTAACTGCGATTTATTGACATCCATAATTATGTTATTGAGTCAAAATATTGGGAAAATGGGCTAGTATTAAAAAGGCATTGCTACATTACCTGAAAGACACCGGGCAGAACAAGAGAATAAAAACTGCTAGAAATTAGAAATTATAGTTGGTGGTAGTAGACTATTCAGTCAAGTCTGCTTTGCCCTGGGGAGAAAAAAAACTGAAAAGGGGAGTAGAAACAGCTGATAGTCCCTCTTGGCAGGGAGGCAGTGGGAAGCTGTTTGGAGGGATGGGGATGGGTCTCCAGGGAGACTGTCAATGTTAGGGAGAGTGTCCATCCCATGGCCTATACCCTCCAAAACACTAGGCCCATAATGGTAAGGAAATCTTGCAAAGGGATTTCCGTGATGTAGGATGAGAAAAGGTCTGATGCTGCAAAGGATTTTGGACAGGGTTATGCTGATTTCATTTCAGCCTTCACTGGGAAGATATGAAGATAATATGGTATGAAGATATGAAGTAACAAGATAATAATCACACTATTCTGCTGCTGTGCTAATTTATGCAAGGGACACTTTCGCCTACACGGTAATAGCTAAAATACCTAAAATTAATTATTTTTCTTTCAAGTCTTATGTGATCAATGGTTGAAATGTATGACATGAATTTGAGCGACAGCAATTTATAGACTTGCAGTATAGGGGCTGGATCTAAAGGGTGCTTATAAAATTATTAGGAGCCATAACTGTAAATAATATTAAATACAGCACATGAAAAGCTTTGGAGATAACATATCATGTTGTTTTTATACTGTTGCTTACTATACAATTTGATTTTGTTCAGTGCTGGATGGTGAACTCATTCTTATTATTTTTGTGTAATATGAATGTAATCCTTGGCTGGCCTGAGGGAATGCTAGTAGTACACTATTCCATGAGGCAGACATTCAGCTTTAGGAGCCACCTAATCACAACACAGATCAGGCACGTGGTAAGGGTTTGGAGTTGTATTATTCTGTTCATCTACTCTGCCTCTCTAAACCACTCTTTTTACTTAGGGTATGTCTATACTACCCGCCGGATTGGTGGGCAGCGATCGATCCAGCGGGGGTTGATTTATCGCATCTCGTCTAGATGCAATAAATCAACCCCCGAGCATTCTCTCGTCGACTCCTGTACTCCACCAGGCCGAGAGGCGCCGGCGGAGTTGACGGGGGAACGTCGGCAGTCGACTCACCGCAGTGAAGACACCGCGGTGAATAGATCTAAGTACGTCGACTTCAGCTACCTGGTATTCATGTAGCTGAAGTTGCATAACTTAGATTGATCCCCTCCGCCAGTGTAGACCAGGGCTTAGAGAAAGGTTCCTGCACATATCGCTTAGCTGCAGCAAGAATGGAGCAAGCTGGAAAACCGGTGTAATGTGCAACAACGCACTCTTCAGTCACATAGAAGAAAGATTCTGGTTTTATTTTGGAAGGAGTTCTCAAAAATCATGTTAATTTAAATTATATTTAAATACATGTTTAGTAGTGTCAAACTGAGGTTCTCAAACTTTTTCAGAGAATGAACCATACATTGTAGTAGTGAGATTGTCTCACAGGACACCGCCCTGCCCATTCATGATCACATAGGCTTCTTCACACATATTCCCTCACAATACAGTAACTGATCACATGCAAAAGTAATATTAAGAAAGAAAACAAGAGGAGCCAGCACTATAGCAGCAGCCAGCTCTCTATGAACCACTAAGCCCACAAACTACAGTGGTTAGGAAAACATAGTGCAGAACAAATGCTCCCTTAACTAACAGAAGTCGAGTTGTGACTAAACAGACATGAATTGAAATCCTGGCTCCCATGAAGTCAATAGCAAAACTCCCCTTGACTACCTTGTGGAAAGGATTTCACCCTCAGTCTTTTTTTGTAGCAGGGAAGAGAGGAGAGATTGACTGTAACTTTGTACAAGAACCTTATTGCCTCACTTTAAGGAAAAGTAATAACTGCAGTTAAATGCTATGTCAGTCTGTCCAATCAGTTGGAAGTGAAGGGGGCTCTTTAAATCTAGGGTTTTTATTTCTCAGCTCTCATGGGAGCTCTTCTGACAAGTAACACAAAAAGAATCTGTAACAATATCTCACAGACACAGAAAATACTGCCTACTTAGAATAATATTAAATTAAATTTGTTGGCCTATTATATATATAAAAAACAAAACAGAAATTGGATTGAGTCAAGGATGTTAATTATTGCCTTATAAGCACCATTGCCAGAATTATTATGACTGATTTTCTGACTGTTTTCCTAGAAAGTTTCTATTTGTCATCTACAAGAGGAGCAATATATAAAATTAAAAATACAATAAAAATAGATTATGGGAGCCCACAGTAAGGGTGGGGTGGCAACCACTTCCACAGCAAAAGTTTCTGACAAGTAGTTGCAGAAGGGATGCCTGGGAGGCTCTAGACTACCCATAACCTCTGCTTCATTAGCTGATCACTGCAGCAGAAACCTCTAACTCAGGGGCTCTCAAACTGGTGGTCGGAACCCCTCAGGGGGTCGCGAGCTGTCAGCCTCCACCCCAAACCCCGCTTTGTCTTTATTTATAATGGTGATAAATATATAAAAAAGTGTTTTTAATTGATATGGGGGCGTCGCACTCAGAGGCTTGTTATGTGAAAGGGGTCACCAGTACAAAAGTTTGCGAACAACTGCTCTCTTTTGCTAAACATTTCTGTAGGTCATGGAACTAAAAATCTGAAGCCAGGTGGATAACTGAACAGGAAGTCTGTGTTCTGACATACAGTTATCTGTAAAAAGAAAAGAAAAAAAGGAAATTATGCAGATATTTGTTTTATTAACCAAGTGGCGTACATTGGTGAGGCTCCAACAAGTTGCTGTTAACTTGTGGCTTGGGCAATGAGTCAGGAAAACTGCTATTCACAGTCAGGCTGATAAAACATAATGCTGGATCATTTCCCACTTCACTCTGATATTATATATATGGTTATCCTCCTAAATGCTGCCCTTCACCTCTCTCAAACAAATGCATATCTACTCTGAATGTCTCATTTGGGACCTCCCTATTGAAAAGGGGGTTTTCGGTAATTGCAGGCTTAGTAGTTGTTGATAAGCACACAGAGAAAGAGAGGGTTTAGAGATAAATGCAGAAGAGAATGTGTGGGGAGAAAAAGGGTAGTTTCCAGCACAATTAGTGGACTTTCCATGTGAGAATGATATTCTGGCTAGTCACTAAACATGTGATAATGCAAAACCTCAGAAAAGGGAAGTCTCGCATGAAAAATTGCTATCAACATATTGCTCAGCTGTGAAAAGATGCAAATGAAAGTTAACAATGCAGTATATCAGAGAGTTCTGTTAGTAAAAATGAAATGCCAAACAGGAGCCTCCAATTCTAAAACAATTTTTTAAGTAACTTTACACACTGGACTTCTTACATGAGTAGGGTTACCAGATAGCAACTGTGAAAAAACGGGACAGGGGTGGGGGGTAATAGGTGCCTATATAAGAAAAAGTCCCAAAAAATAGGACTGTCCCTTTAAAAACGGGACATCTGGTCACCCTATACATGAGTAAAGTAACTCAAGTGTATTTGCAGGATCAGGACCTTAATAAATGTAACTGTTAAACTAATTGTAAATGCACAGAACTCAGGAAATTCAAAGTTATGGTTCCCTAAGCAGCCATAATCTAATCTAACCACCTTGTGCATTCACAGCATTTTGTATAGTGTTAATTTGTACTTTAATATTGTAAAATGGGTCAGTGTATAAAATATACTATCAAAATATTGTTATATTTGCACGTTCTGCTTTTATCAAATAAACACAGAACTATATAATTACCTGTATGTTCTAGAAACTTCTGCTCTCATATCCTCCACAGGGTTGCTGTGAAACTGTATTAGTATAAATCCACCTATGTCCAGGGAGACTAAGATACAAACAATATAACTTTATTACTTTTACAGATTATCTATACAATGTAACCAATTTATCATTTATCTTTACATTGAATTTCCTGATAATAAAGATTATATAAACTAATTATGTCTTATTCTAACATAGCTGCAATACTACTATCTTTCATCTGTTTCTTAGTTTTGGTCATTTTCCACCATTTAAGTTTTAGCAATCTGGGATGCTGGCATATCACTTGTCACCTTAAAACCCTATGAAAACTTAGTTTGTGACTATTATTTCCATTCCCTTCTTGATGAAAATATTCTGCAAAAACATGTTTATTACTTTTCTTTTACTCAACTCTCTGCACATCATTTTCCCTTTCCATATAGTTTGAAAAATCGTAAGTACAGTAAAAGCTGTGTTATCCGGCATGTTGTGGGAATGGGTGGTATCAGTTAGTTAAAAAGTCCAGTTAACTAAGAGGGAGAGAGTTTGGGTGCAGGAGAGGGCTTAGAGCTCGGGGTGCAGGAGGAGGAGCTCGTTTCAGGCTCTGGGAGGGAGTTGGGGTGCAAGAGGGGGCTCGGGGAAGGGGCGTGGGAGGGTTGTGGGGTGCTGGATCTGGGCAGCGCTCAGCTCGGGTGGCTCCCCAGAAGCAGAGACCTGTCCCTGGTAGTCCTAGGCGGAGGCACAGCTAGACTGTTCTGCGTGCTGCTCCGCCTGCAGGCGCTGCCCCTACAGCTCCCACTGGCCACAGTTCCCGGCCAATGGGAGCTGCAGAGGCAGTGCTCTGGGCGGGGTGGACGCAGTGCACAGAGCCGCCTAGCCACACCTCCCCCTAGGAGCAGCAGGGACATATCACTGCTTCCAGGGAGCCATGTGGGGAGCCTGCTGGTCGTATACCAACCAGACTATAATCCAGACTTTCAATGAAGATCAGAAATGCCTTTATAGAGCTTTCTGGTTGGTAAAGTGCCAAATAACACAGCTTTTACTGTATATTAAGAGAAAATGGTTAAAAATAATTTTATTTTAAACTTATACTAAGATCCAAGCTGAGGTTTGAGATTTTTCCTGCAAGATTTGAGAATATCACAGATAAGTCTCATCCTAGGTTGATACAGACCCTGGTGTGAAGTTGTGCAGGTGGTTGTCATTAGAGGCTGCAGAAAGGCCTTGTTATCTGGAAGGGGCACTTAGCAGTGTGTGTGGCTTAGTCTGCAAAGGTTTGCCAGGACAGTTATATTGATTAGGAGTGTGCAAAAAAATCACACTCCCTAGTTAACACAGCTAACCTCCCCTAATGTAGACACAACCATGCCGACAGAAGAGTGCTCTTGTTGGCATAGCTAATGTCTGGAAATGGTTAAATTATGGTAGGAGACAAATGCTGAGTCTCTAGTAGGGGGCTAGGCCAGCATAGTTACACTGGCAAAGCATTTGTAGTATAGACAAATCCCTAAATGAGTATGAGAGACAGACAGACAAGGTGTGTTTATATACTAGGTGAGGGCTCTTTTCATTGAGGTGAGATAGGGAGGGGACAGTGTGGACTAAGACCTGGTCTACTCTTAAAAGTTAGGTTGACACAGCTCTGGCACTCAGGGGGTTGAAAAATTCAGCTCCCTGAGCACTGTAACTATGCCGACCTAATCCTTAGTGTAGATGTGACTAAATTGACTGAATAATCCTTCCATTGACCTAATTACTGCTGCTCAGAGAAGTGGATTACCTACAGCAATGTAAAAAAACCTTTCTGTCCATGTAGGAAGCATCTACATTACAGTGCTGCAGCATCGTAGCTGGGTTGCTGCAGTGCCCATGGTGCAGATATGGCCTCAGCTACCCATACTTTACTTCTTTCACCTATGTGGCTTACTACTAAAGCAGTGTAAGGAATAGTGTTCCTAACTCAATTTTTGGTATTCTTTCAAGTTGAGTTGCCAGGAAAATATATCAACCACATAAAATAAAAGACTGCTTCATTTTAATTTATAATTTAAATAGAAATATTTAGCATTTTTCTACTAAACAAATACACATTTGCCTTGTGGATTTTGTGCATCAGCTTTAATGTAAAAATACTAGCCATTATGAACTAGGGCTAATCTTAGAAACACACATCCCTGAGTTGTGTCTTGCAGGTAAAAAAGCAATTTAGTTCATATTTAATAATTAGGTACAGCTACGACCACTGACAAATAAAGGTGTGGAAAAAATCTGAATGTATTTACAGCCAAAGAGAAGCACCTGGGGAATGGTGTTTGATGCCATAAAAGCTATTATGAGGCACTTTAAAGGGGGCACTATCAATTTAAATGTCATATTATAATTAGAGACAAGGTGAATGAGGTAATATCTTTTTTTGGGCTGACTTCTGTTGGTGAAAAAGACAAGTTCTTGAACTTACAAAGAGCTCTTCTTCAGGTCTGGGAAAGGTATTCAGAGTGTCTCAGAAAAATACAAGGGTGGAACAGATATGGGTATGAGTTAACCCACGTTGCAAGTAATCATTTCAGGTGACATTGGTAGTAAACACCTCTGCAGTCATAGGGTACGTCTACACTTACCGGAGGGTCTGGCGGCAGGCAATCGATGTTCTGGGATCAATCCCGGAAGTGCTCGCCGTCGACGCCGGTACTCCAGCTCGGCGAGAGGAGTACGCAGCATTGACGGGGGAGCCTCCCTGCCACGTCTGGACCCGCGGTAAGTTCGGACTAAGGTACTTCGAATTCAGCTACATTATTAATGTAGCTGAATTTGCATACCTTAGTCCGAAGTGGGGGATTAGTGGGGACCAGGCCTTAGGAATAAAGAGGGTTAGTGGGTTAGATTGTTGTAATGAGCTACAAAGCCAGTATCTTTTTTTTTTAAATCCATGATTTTTAGTGTCTAGCAGAGTTATGAATTTAAGTTCCCAGGCTCATCTTTTGAAGGTGTTGTTTTATTAAAAGTGTTTGCCCACTGGGTGTTTGTCTTTCATCATTTTATGACTATTATAAAGTTACTTAACTTTTAACAATAAGCTGAACTTATCAAAAATTAATTAAAAAACCCCCCAATCTACTTTTCACTCATGGCCTGATCCTGCAAAGATTTGCACATAGGGTATGCCTAAACTACAGTCTCTACCAGAATATGCTATAGCACAGTTGCAGACGTATGTATGTTTGTCTACATAAAAAGGCTAAAATGGAATGAAGTCAGCTTTGAATTAGCTCCAGTTGTGGACTACGCTAATACAAATTAACAACAAAGCGAATTAAACTAATGCAAAATAACGCAGCCTGCTTCCAGAACCACACGTGGCATTAA